ATTGTTTTAGCATTGTAGATGATCAATAATACGGTCTTGAAAGGCAGATGATGAGGCGATGTTGGCGATGTCTCGGGGGAGGCCGTTCCAGTCCGTGGCTGCTCGAAAAAACAACGAGGCAGAAAAAGCAGTGGTGCGCGAAGATGGGCGGGAAACCTGAAATGGATGACTGGTTCGATGAGATATGCGTGCTGCGGCTGCTATAAAAGGTGGCTGATTGAGGGAAGAATGTAATAGTTGGCGATAAAGCACGAGAGTTGCAGTGCGGCCTCGCAATGAAAGGGGTGGCAGTCCATATTTCGCTTTCAAAGATGAAATACTGATATCGTATGAGTAAGATGAGTGAATGAATCTGGCAGCACGGTTTTGTACCGCTTCTAATGCTTTGATTAAATGCGTTTGATGTGGGCTCCATATGGCAGATGCATATTCTAATTTCGGTCTGATTAAAGATTTGTACGCAAGTTTTTTTACATGTAGGGGGCTAGGTGGAGATCGCGTTTGAGAAAACCAAGTGCTTTATTAGATGCTGAAACTACATTAGCGATGAGGGTACGCCATAATAAATCATAAGACAAGGTTATTCCAAGATATTTATAAGATGGTACTGATTCAATTGCGGTGTTAACGATGGAATACTGGAAGCGATACGGGCTGTGGCGACGAGAAAAAGACACAAGTTTACATTTGGAAGGATTAAGGGTCATTAACCATGTGTTACACCAATCAAGCACGTTGTTAAGATTAGTTTGGAGATACAGGTGATCATGCTGGTTACTGATAGTGTGATAAATGGCACAGTCGTCCGCGAACATGTGAATGCTGCTGGATACATGGTCGGGCAAGTCGTTAATATATATTAGGAAAAGAAGGGGACCAAGGAAAGATCCTTGGGGAACGCCTGATGTGACTGGGAGAGAGTTAGATAGGTGGCCATTAGCAAAGACTGACTGAGAACGGTTAGTGAGAAACTGTTCAATCCAACGAAGAATGTTAGGGTCTAGGTGCAGGTGTGAAAGTTTTAGCAAAAAGCGGCGGTGAGGAACTTTATAGAATGCTTTCGCAGTCTAGAAAAATTACATCAGTCTGCATGTTACGGTCTAGGTTAGTGTGCAAGTCGTGAAAAAAAGAGCGCTAATTGTGTTTCACAGGAGTGACCTTTACGAAATATATGTTGTGATCGATGAAAAAATTACATGAGTCCAAGAAACATGCGATTTGAGAGTAAATGACGTGTTGCATGATTTTACAGGGTACACTAGTTCATGAAATGGGGTGGTAGTTCAAGGGTGAGTCTCTGTTACCTGATTTGTACACTGGAACAACCTTCCCCGTTTTCCAGTCATCTGGAATGATTCCTGAGGCGAGTGACTGTGAAAAAATCAAAGATAAATAGGCGGCACAAATTGATTTACCATTCTTCAGTAGCTTAGAATTGAGTCCATACCGGCTGATGATGAAAGCTTAATGTTATCAATTACGGACGCAATGCCTTCTTTGAAAAATGAGATAGTCGGCATTAATGCTTCGATGTTAACTGATGGTGACTGTCAAGGTGCGTCCAGTTCTTGAGTAAAGACAGATGCGAATGCGGTGTTAAATATTTCCCCACATTCATGGTCTGTCACTGGTTCATGCGCGTCGTTAGTCAGTGTGAGTCGTGAGTCTGCTTTGGATTTAAAAGTTGCCAAAATTTTCTGGGGTTGCTGGTTAGTAGCTTTGGTAAGTCATCGTGATAAAATGTATGCTTGGCGTTCCGGATCTCAACTAGATATGATTTTTCCACTTCGAAGTATTTATCCCAGTCACTCCGCGTGTCACGGCGTTTGGCCGAACGGAAGAGCCGTTTCTTTTTATTTTCCAGCCGTTTTAAACGTACAGAAAACCATGGCTTATTGTGATTAGTATGAAAGATAACCCTCGGAATGAACATATTAGTGAGCACACTTAATTTATTTTTGAATATCGACCAGTTTTCATGTACTGTGCGAGTGGAAAACACTGATTTGTACTCAGAAAAAAAGGTGTTAAGGTCCTCAGTTATTGCATCGTAGTTTCCCCGGTCGTAAAGGCATATTGTTTTTGCGGATGTGTACTTTGGAGCAGAACGGAATGAAAATAGGGCATGTATGATTTTATGGCCGCTGATTTCTGGGAGATAACTGATAGATGAAAGGTTCTCAGGACTGTTAGTTAGTATTAGGTCTAGAATGTTTGCTGTTTCTTGCGTAACGCGTGTTGGTTCTGAGACTAACTGACTCAGGTTAAAATTTAAACATACGTCAATGAAGTTTTCAGCCTCTGCATGACATAATAATGAGGACATGCCTAGGTTATGCCATTCGGTGTTCGGGTAATTGAAGTCACCAAAGAGAAGGATGCGAGCATTGCGGTAAGTGGCAACAAGTTGCCTTAGGCTATTGTTTAGGTGCCTACAGAAGTCTGGATTAGTATGCGGCGGCCTATAACAAACGCCAAGAAGTACTGTTAGGGGAGGAGCGTCACAAATTAGCCATAATGATTCAACGTCGGATGTGACGTGTACAACGGAACATAATATACCTTGGTGAATTGCAACCAGAGCACCACCCCCTCGAGTACACTTTCGGTCGCTACGATACTCGCGGAATTCGGGTAAGTCAGTCAGAATTTCAGCGTCCGAAATTTTATCGTTGAGCCAAGTTTCAGTTAGTACCAGTATATTGCTTCCGGATGACAAAACAATGTTCGATAAGAGTTCGCGCTTTGGAAGGAAACTGCAGATGTTAGTAAATATCACGGAAAATGAGAGTGGTTTGGCAAGTGCCGGGCAATGTCGGTTTGTAGGTACATGGTGACAGGACGTCTGCTATGTGATTTCTTTCACTGTGCTAGACAATTTATCAAAAATATAACGTTTCGGACCGATGTGCAGAGTTTTATACCGCAAGGAGAACTTAGCAGGTTTAGCCTTGGCAAATGCTAATTGTTTTCGCGCGTGTCAAACGGAGAGCGAAAAGTCCTCTCCAATGCTAAAGTTAGTATTTCTTAATTTCCGGCCATTTGATAGGATCGAGTCCTTTGTTTTGTAACATGCGAATTTCACGATCATGGGACGATTTCTACCGAACGAATGACGACCAAGGCAATGAGCTCTTTCGAAGTTATGAGGCCCTACGGTTATTCCTAGATTATGGCAAAAATCGATAATTATTTTTTCGAAATCGTTCCATGTCTCGCTGTCAGTAGGGTCGGAGATGCCATAAAAGATGAGGTTATTTCGACGTGATCGATTTTCCGCGTCGTCTAGGCGGTCTTATAACTCCTTGATCTTGCGAGACATGCTGCTTGTGTCGGCCCGCATCTTTTCGATGTCATTTCGGATAGGAATAAGGGCCTGGTAGTGTGCTTCTAGGTCGGTCATCCGTTTGCATAAATCTGTTAATGTTCTATCAGAAGTGTTTAGCTGAGATTTGAGGCTCTCTACTTCGGTAATTACTTTGAATTGGCCTGCGGCTATTTTCTGAAGTTCTGTCAACACGGCATCGTTTCCGCCAGGGTCAGGGTTAGTTTCCACATCTCCTGACAACATCAACAAGGAATGAATAACTGAAACACATTCGGCGGCAATGGCGAGATAGCACCGTGGGCTCGGCAACTGCACCAAGACGTAATTGCTAGTTTTTTTTTGCAAACAGCGCGTAGGATTTACTAACCTGCATCGCAAAAATTAGCGGGTTAGATGGCTGCGTTGGGGTGCAGTCACAGAGCTCATGGGGCGGTGCCGGTGGTGGGTGCGCTTTTATATGCAGCGGAGCTGTTGACGTCGATGATGATGTGGCCGTCCATAATGCTTTGGCCTCCGGTAGCCACTGCTCCCCTGGCGGCACGGTCATCACGGGTCGGCTGTTGACGAGCGACAGGTGGTAGCATCCCGACGCCGCTGCGAAGCATGGCAGGGCGCACCCCGGTGGCACACCGGCAAAGATGCGCACCGAGGTCAGCAGTAGCTGGCTGGTGATCATATGGAAGATCGTCTGCATCGCAAAGATTAGTGGGTTAGATGGCTGCGTTGAGGTGCAGTCACAGAGCCCACCTCTGTTCGAGACTATACTCCTAAAAAAATAAAAAAATTCATGATGGCAACTCTATTTAGCGGGTGATCTTATTATGTGCGCCTGTTCTTGAAAGAAAGCACAAGACGGAGTAACATCGTGGATCGTCACGAGAATTCACACAAAACGAATGAAGGACAAATGTGCTTGTTTTTGCAGACAGTGAAACGCGCCATGGGACAATGGTCATATCATGTATGTCCGGTGCGAGGCAGCCAATGGAGTTGGTTGCTCTGCCGTTGTTGAAATTTCGCGACTACGATTATATGAAACAACATTGTAGAGTACAAAGTAAATCAACATCAAAAAAGATACTTATAAAGGGCTGGCGCAGAAAGTTAGCGAAGGAATTTTTAAATAAAATTCTAGATGTATAAATCAACTTCATGAGCCTGCCCCCGAATTCACTGAAAACACGTGCAGTGACAGCGTCCTATCATTTTGAGATTTTTCAGCTACATAGATCAAACCTAGGTTATTTAAGCCTGTTTCAATTTAATAGGAAGATTCGCACATTTGATCAACGTTATGGTGCTCTCCTGCTCAAGAAAGAAGCAATGCTTCTAATGCTTCTATTCGTTATAATAAACTCACAGATGATGGCAAGCTGTACATATTGGACGCAATGCGCAATTCCAAAGTGGCGTTCTCAGAATTCACTGCGCCTGCGCAACCTATACAGTCCTCTTATCGTTCGGCATGTCCAAAGACGCGGAAACGCCATACATATGACGAGGGCCTGTCAAGATGTCCGGCTTCCATAGCTAAATGCACGTAGTGCACTGAATGGATATACAGCCTTGATTAACAACCTATCCACCACATGATCACTGAACTCTTGCTGTATTCCGATGTTCAAAATTCAGAAATATATCCTCCTTCGCACATGCTCATACGTAGATACAGAGGATCATGGGGTGGTGGCGGAGTTGCGATTTCACCTAAATATAACATTAAAATTCACATGCATGAATAATTGATATCAGTGATCATAAAAGCATATTTTGTCAATTAAAGGTTTTCGGTGAAATAATATGGCAGGTGGTGTCTATTGTCTTCCAAATGTCTCTGCGAAATACTGTAAAAATCGTTGAACCATTACTTCTGATTGCCTTTACGTTTTCCTTAACCGAGTTGGCTTCCGATCACACAATAATTTACAAATCTTCCTCACTTTCGTTTGCTAGTGGCTCGCTTCCAGATTGCTCCGTCAGTGTCAAGAATGGCTCACCTGATCATCAGATATTTGTTCTAGAGTGCACTATTTCTGACTTACTTCCTCTGTCAAATCTTCCGACACATTTCAGAGTCATTACACGTGCGGATGATGATGGAGTCATTGCTGGCATGAAATTCTTGTTTACTTCCTGTGTTAATATAATTGGCTTGAGTGAGCTGTGTTCAAAGTTTGAGGACTCGATCAATCATTGTGAAAACGAGTACGTTTTTTTTAAAACACACATAGACACAGTTTTCATAATAAATGTATACAATTGCAGTGACGTGTATTTCCGCTAACGAGAGAAATGCTAAATGAAGGAGAAAAAAAACGCACACGCAGAGCATGATGGCTCGCTCGTAGAAAACGTACATAAGCACAAATAGGTCTGTATATGCACACAGATATACGCGAGCGTGTAGTTGCCGAGAAAAATATTCATACACCAGTCATTAGCAGAGAAAGATAAATAAAACGAACTGTCAACTGTTCTAGAAGGATGTTGGGGAAGAAAAGTCGCTACTGATTTCTGTGTGCGAGAAATTTGCGTATTCCCAGCTTATTCAATTCCGGAAAACAAATGTACGTGCCAATGAGCTCATTTAGTACTAGTGGGAACTGGTAGGGAAGCAAATGTCGTTCATAGTTGGTGCGGCTAGCAGGTGAAATCCAGGGTGTATTGTGGCGCAGTGGGCAGTGAGACGGAAATACTCTCAAAGAGGTGAGACTGTGTAAGCAGCCCTGGTATTTTTTAGTCTACTTTGTACCTTCGTAGTAGTCTATAGTGGTGCAAGTTAAAGATAATCAAGATGTCACGTTGCACAAAAAGATCTCTTGTTGTATGTCCTCAAGGCAATCTGTACACTATCCTTACTAGCCGTTTCTGCACAACTGACATTCTTTGTATATTTGATTTTGTGGTTGTGGCCCATATAGGCGCAAAGTGATTTAAGTAAGAGCAAAGCAGGGAATTATACGACATTATTTTACTTTTTGGGCCAACAGGTCCCTGTGTCGCTTAAAAAGTCCAGCGCCGCGGGATGCTTTTAAAAGGATTTGGTTAACGTGGTCATCGCACTGCATATTTTATGAGAAGTATATCCCAAGTGATTTAAAAGGCGACACTACTTCAAGAGAAGTTGAACGGTATAAAATATTTGCGGAGATCATAGCAGTTTCATTCCTTGGATGAAAAATGATAGCTTCAGACTTTGTCACATTTGGCAGTGAGCGCGTTTTCACCCGGCCATTTTATAGCTGTTTCAATAGGCTATTCGCTTAAGTGGCAACGGGATTCTCACTTGAAACAAATGTACTGCTGTCATCCGCATATATTAAAACGTGAATTTTGGTTTGTATATATATATATATATATATATATATATATATATATATATATATATATATATATATATTAGTATACATTTTAAAAGTAGCAGTTTAAAAATGCCGCTTTGGGGTGTATACCGCAGACAACGCAGCATAATGACGACTTAAACTGACCAATTTGAACATATAGAGTTTGTGGCAACAAATATCATTTAATGAGAAGCAAAGCACGATTCTATATCCCGTATATTTCTACCTTCTGAAAAAAAAACTATTTTGTGGTTTTATACTTGGTGTAGTCCACAAGTATTCCTAGAAAAAATTATTTTTTTTTTCATTCTAGTATGTGTTCTTTTCGATGAAACAGGGTCAATTCAGTTGAGCGATTTTTTTCTGAAACAATATTGGGAGTCAGTGATGCCAGTACATCAAATATAATTTCGATTACATACTTGACTGGACGTACTTGAATGCCGTTATCATCACGGGACGTATTAATGTTATTTTAGAAAATATGTTTATTCTTTCGTTTTTAATAACTGGTTAGTCATTGAATGCATCAACAAAAGATTTGCCTGCATATTCACGGCCATTCTGAGTGACCTAGCTCCTCCTGTGGTCTTCGGCCATCATTGAAAGAGTCTTGTGATCGAAGTATTTCTCAAAGTGCATTTAAATGATTTACGGTGGATTCAAAGTATTTCTCATAATGATTTCGTCTTGCTTTTCAAGTGTCGTTATTCAAAATATTTCTGTACTTCTTGACGTAACTCAGCGCTTTAATACTTCTATTGCCAATGAACAACCTGTATATATTTAATTTTTTTCTGATGCAAAGTATGCAACACGGCCGCTTGACAAATGTCTCGCCGTAGTACCTGACGCCTCTTCCGCGCCTTAGTTAATCCTACACAAACTCGAACATGCAACATGCCCGCTCGACAACTTGTCCGCCGTAGTACCTGGTGCCTCTTTCGTGCGTAAGTTGATCCTACACAAACTCTTAACAAAGACACCAAGCATCTTTAAGAGGCGTTTCATAGCTTCGATCAAGGTGCTGCAGAACTTGCCCGTACACTCCAAGACCAATATCTATGCACTAGGCAGGACATCTGAGGGCGCGCGTACTCTAATGCAGGTGACAAATATGTGAAGCTTGATCAACTGTTCCAGTTACACGACTTGAAGACGGCTCTAGCAAAAATGAGGCAAAAAACGGCACCAGGAAGGGACATTACAGTAAAGTTACTCGCCAGCCTTCTCGACTTGGCCTACACAATACTTCTTGCACACATCAACTCAATTCGGATCAGAAAAACGCCCATCCCAATTGAGTAGAAGGCCGCCCTGGTCACCTTCATACCCAAAGCGGCGAAGCTATTAGCACAGACAACCTCGACCCCATCTCCCTTACGTTTTGTGTTGGAAAATTAGTGGAGACGATGGTGCGCGAAAGGTGGTCCTAGTTTCTGGAAACCAAAAATATATTTGGAGACATCATGTTCGGGTTTCATTCACACAGCTCTGCTCAGGATGTCTTGCTTGAGCTCGATCGTGAGATCCCGAACCCGGTCGAGCATGCCCAAAATGACAAAACTGTGCTCGCTTTGAATATGATGGGGGCCTTTGATAACGCAACCGAAGAAGTTATTCTAACTCATCTCTCACAGGTAGATTACAGCCAGCACACGTTCAACAATATTGTGGTGCCATCATCATCATCATCATCATCATCATCATCATCATCATCATCATCATCATCATCATTTTCTGATCCCCACGCCGCGCCTTACACTCTCCTCTCGCGCAGCTGATTCTAGCTAGAGCTGTCCGAGAACAGAACGCCTGGCGTGTCGGCTCCGCCTCCACTTCGCACCTTGGGTACATCGACACGGCCCTGTCGGCCACCTACGACGTCGTCTCACGTCTCTCTACTCCTCGCTCGCTACAGTGGTGAGCCGGAGAACGTACCCTATGGCGAGCAATCGGCTGCAATGTTCTCGCAACTCTGCCCGCCAGCACGGGAAAAAAAGTAGACTCCTTCGTTCACACGGTTCACGAGCAGAGCTGTCAAATTCGCCCCTGTTTAGGACGAAAAAGGGGAGAGCTTAACGGGATGGGCATCTTTCAAGAAGCAGGCCAAGCGCGGCCGTCTGAGTTTAAATGATTGTTGGCGTGCACGTGTGCCATTGAGAATGACGCACGGACGCGACCACTGGGCTGAGGGAGGCATGGTGGCGGCACGCAGACGAGCTTATCCTCCCTCGATGTACGTCATTACCGAGTGTTGTTAGGATGCCTCGCTGCGGCGTGCATACCTGGTTAGCGCACAGGGACTGACGGTGGACTCACTAGGAGGATTCCAGAAGCATCGTTTACTGAGAGATCTGAAGGAGCTCCAGCGTGAGAACGGCTACCAACGGTGGTCAGCCGACGGAAGCCAGCATGGCCTGACATGGGAGAGGGTGTGACATGCTGAGAACATATCTCCTCTCATGTTTTATTTCGTGACGTAGTTTTTACCAATGCAGTGCTAGTTATGAAAGTGTTTCTGGGATTCGTTGTGGAGATGTGAGCCCATGAACACGTGTGATTGGCTTGTGTGGAGGCCCTTTGTTCAACCGAGGGTTGAAAAGAGTGTGGTTAAGGGTGAAATGGGGAGCGGAGGTTCGAGCTTGGACTCGGGCAGACGCCTGGTGCTGCAATAAAACGTCTCTTCACCGGACTACGGCTCTTCTTTCGCACTGCTACCGAGCACTCGAGTCATCGAGGGGTCCTATTCTGAACCTCAAACACCTTACCACCTTAGCTAGTGTAGAAGCTGCTGGAGAAGAAAGAAATTAAGTGCATGGTTCTTTTTTATTTGCTGTGAACTTCGTGGTTATTCTGTACTTTGCTAAAAGAAAGTGGTTGATGGAGTTTTTCGCTTCTTATTGTATGTGTATAAGCAAAATATTACTGTTTAACTCGCTGGTACAGCTTGAAGTGGTAATCAAGCCATAATGCGTAGCGCGGTGTAGGCTTGCTGAGGGCAGTAGCACCTAACACCTGTCAAGTATGAGATGTAATAAACTAATGTTCTAGTTTAACAGCTATTAGGTAGAAAGTTTTTTCGCTCTTTAACCAAACTAGTCCAACTTCTCCGGTCGCTTTTTCGAGGGCACGCGTCGTGGGGTCTTCATACATGTATCACTATTTACGGAGTGCTGACTTGAATATTACGTTCAATTTTTTTCATTTATTGCAGAGCGGCCTATATTTGTGCTAGGGAGTTTGAAGAAACATTATAGTCCACTAAAGTGGCATTACGGACGACATTAAGGCCGGCAACTGTATCAAAGAAAACTTTGCGACTGTTTCCTCTAAAAAGAACCGACAGTATTTTCAAGTTCTTATTGCAGTCTATAAATGCAAGAAAATTAGTACTTTAAGATACGAAGCAGCTCTGTGATTAGCCTGTGTAGCGCTGCCTCTTCGTACACCCTCCCTGCGCATGCTCGCGTCTCCTGCCAGCCCAGAAAGACACCCGCAAACAGTCGCTCTTTCGCCCTGTCTCCCCTCGCAAGTCCGATGCAGAGAACGTCTGCGTGTAAAAAACCGACGACTTGCGTTTACTGGCCACCCTCTAATTGTAGGCACTTGATCGCGCGTCCGCAATTCAGGCAAGGGCTTCTGTACTTGTCTTTCACTTGGTGAGTGCCAGCGTCAACGTCGCCGCCAGTGTAAGCGTTAGCGCTCACTGCTTTGCATCTTCACATGATTTCCTTTAGCGGAAGGTAGTCGAAGTTTTTATGTGCAGTTGTAACTATTTTCAATTACTTACTTGATTTTTAATAAAATTGGCGTTTTATTGTGTGTCAGAATTTTTAATTTGCGACGAGAAGGTCTCATTCCCGCGGCATCGTCTGACTGTGCGACAGCTAGTGCCACATGTCACTCGGCGGGGGTGTGAAATATGTCGAGTGAAATGAGTTCTCATAGCTGCGTTACACTTATTTATTTATCTCGTTTATATATGTCACAGGTTCTGCACTAACGCTGCCAAAATGCAGTATGGCCGGTTGTCCTCCTGTTCAGAACAAGAGAAAGCGGACACCGATGACACTGGTGAGTGGAAACATCCATAGTAGAACAGCGCAACAAGCAAGAACTTGCGAAGGCTGCTGCGATGTTCTGAGTTTTTTCATGACCTACCAACATTCCTAAATCAGCAACCTTGAAGTTTGCGATGAATCAAAGTATTTTCATCCTTATAAACTGCATATTCTAAGCTCAGTGCACCTGGCTATTGCTTTGGCAAGGCGAAAAAGGCTGTTGACTTGGCGGCTCATACTGTGAAGCTTAGCTATGATATCGCGTATCTACATGATGCGTAAGAGTTTACTCTTTGAAGCTTGGTGACTAAAACAAGCCTTGCTCAAATAAGTACTGCTTTATTTTTTATGAGACTGAAGCAAATGTGGGAAATTGTTTGTAAAATACAGTTATTGTTCACTTCGTGCGAATGCTTTTCATTACTTACACAGCACCACCCTACCAGCTCAACCATTTTCAAGGATATATCGCGCCCGTGACAGTGTGCGACCGTAAACACACTGTTTAGTTCTCGAAGAAAGGTTTACTTGTGTAAAGAGGTTTATTGGGCGAACCAAACGGGCAGGTGGGAGATTGGAGATAGTGACAGGACGAGGAAGATGGAGGAGCTCGAGCGCCGATCTCGTGGTGCCTTACTCTGCGATGATGCTTGCTGTTTCCTCTTGTTGTCATCATTCCTTCATTATAATTGCCCCCGTCGAGAAAGATCAAGCCATCCTGGCGATCTAACAAGTGGGAAAGAGCGGGTCGAAGTACGGCTTCAAGCGGTCCACGTGAACAATATCGTGTCCACGCCGACGACGGTCACCGGGTGGCGTAAGCGGTTCAATGGCGTAATTGACGGGCGATGTGCGCTCTACCACGCGGTATGGACCATGGTAATTTGAAAGTAGCTTGGTAGACAAACCAGGTGCACAGGGTGGTACATACAGCCATACAAGGGTTCCAGGGGCGAACTTGGCGGCAGGAGGGTGGTCGTCATCACGGGCCTTTTTCTGGCGTTGCTGCTCAGCCGTAGTAAACTGCTTCGCTAGTTGGCGGCATTCTTCGGCGTGACGGGCGGCTTCAGACACGGTCGTGCACTCAGGTACATCTGGTGCGTATGGCAGCGAAGTGTCAATTGTGTGCGATGGTTGACGTCCGTATAGAAGGTAGAATGGGGAAAAGCCGGTGGTGACTTGAGTAGCGGTGTTGTACGCGTAGGTCGCAAACGAAAGAACCAGGTCCCAGTTCGTTTGGTCAGATGCCACTTGCGTCGCGAGCATGTCACCCAGGGTTCGATTAAACCGCTCAGTCAGGCCATTCGTCTGAGGGTGGTAAGCAGTACTCATCCGGTGTACAATATTGTCACGTCGCTCCAGGGGGTGTCGACAAGGTTTATTGATGTCCGAGCAACAGGGCTCTAACCAAACGCGTCGGTTGGGCTTGTTTGCCAGAGCGGGGGCCCACGCGCACTTCTTTCTTCTCTGTGGTGTGAGCCTTCACCTTGGCATACGACCCACTACTAGAAGTAGGTGGCAATATTCCTCCTCAACAAAAAAAAAAGAAGGAGCATCGTCCCGATGCTGTAAAGTTATTGAAAAAAAAACCAAAACAAAGTAGGTTAAACAATGAAAAAGGGCACCAATAATCAAATGTTAGACGCGATAAGTTCACCAATGATGAGGCAATAGTCAGAACCCAAATAAAAAAACACAGGAAAAGTGGTCTTTTGGGAACGCGCAAAAGAGGGCTTCATGTGCACCACGTGAACTATGTCAGAGGTCAGTTGTTTTCATTGTGCCCATCGTGACGACGTAGCGTCCGGAACCGCTTCGTAGTTTACGTCGCTCACGCGGCGTATTACTTTATACGGACCGAAGTATCTGCTGAGCAACTTTTCGGAGAGGCCACGGCGTCGAACAGGGGTCCAAACCCAAACTTGGTCTCCCGGACTGTAAGATACGTCATTGTGACGCATATTGTAACGTCGTGCATCGACCTGTTGCTGCTGACCAATGTGTTGCCGGGCGAGCTGGCGAGTTTCCTCGGCACGCTCTGCAAATTCTTCTGCGTCAGTTGTTAATCGATCAGCGCTTTCATAAGGAAGCATCGCATGCTGCATCGTCTGAACTTCGCGGCCGTAGAGAAGGCGAAACGGTGTAAATCGGGTTGTTTCTTGAACGGCGGTGTTATAAGCGAACGTCACATAAGGCAAAATGCGATCCCATGTTTTGTGTTGGACGTCGATGTACATGGAGATCATGTTTGTGACTGTCTTATTTAGTCGCTCGGTTAAGCCGTTTCTCTGCGGATAGTAAGCAGTCGTCGTTCGATGCCTAGTGTTACTTAGCCGAAAAACTTCAGCAATAAGCTGTGCAGTGAACGCTGTTCCTCTGTCGGTTATCACTGTAGATGGAGCACCGTGGCGCAGAACAATGTGGCACATGAAGAACTGTGCTACCTCAGAAGCCGTGGCTCGTGGTATCGCCTGTGTCTCAGCATAGCGGGTCAAATAGTCAGTTGCAACAATGACCCATTTGTTGCCGTCGGACGATAAAGGAAATGGGCGGAGAATGTCCATGCCGACTTGGTCAAATGGCTTGTGGGGTGGATCAATTGGCTGAAGTAATCCAGCCGGCTTGCTTGGTGGTGACTTTCAACGCTGGCATTCACGACAGCTTTTAACGTACTGCTTCACGCTTGCCGAAAGTCCGGGCCAGTAGTACGCCTCACTTACTCTGGCGAGCGTTCGCGAGTAACCTAGATGACCAGATGTGGGCTCGTCATGGCACGCGGAGAGGACTTCGTCCCGCATGTTTTTCGGAACGACGAGGAGGTAAGCGCGGCTCGTAGAACGGGCGTTTTTTTGTACAGGACATTACCTCGGAGGCAGAAAGACGTCATGACACGAAATAGATGGCGAGGTATAACGGCGCTATGACCCTCCAGATAGTCGATGAGCGGTCGAATCTCTTCATCCTCTTGCTGGCGTCTGCTCAAGTCAGATGAGCTAAGGGCGCCCAGGAAACCGTCATCGTCGTCTTCTTCTTGATTGACTGAAGGTATGGGTGCACGCGACAGCGTATCAGCGTCTTCATGCTTCCGTCCAGACTTATATACGATGGTAACATCAAATTCCTGTAGACGCAAGCTCCATCGGGCCAGTCGTCCAGAGGGATCACGAATGTTTACCAACCAGCAGAGGGCATGGTGGTCCGTCACCACTTTAAATGGACGACTATAGCGGTACGGGTGAAACTTGGTGATCGCCCACACTACTGCGAGACACTCTTTCTCTGTGGTCGTGTAATTCACCTCGGTACGGGGCAGTGAGCGGCTGGCATAGGCAATGACTCGTTTTTTGCCGTGTTGATGCTGGACGAGCACTGCGCCGAGGCCGATGTTACTGGCGTCAGTGTGCGCCTCTGTGTCAGCAATATCGTCAAAATGCGCAAGAACAGGGGCTGACTGCATCCGCTGTCGTAGCTAGGCAAAAGCAGCCTGTTGTTCGGTAGCCCATACAAACGGTGTGTCGTCGCGTGTAAGGCGAGTCAAGGGTTCCGCTATCTTCGAAAACCCTCTAATAAATCGTCGATAGTAGGCGCACAAGCCCAGAAAGCGCCGAACAGTCTTTTGGCTGTAGGATGCGGAAACGCGGCTACAGCGGCAAGTTTGTCGGGGTCGGGTTGGAATCCTTTCGCGTTGACTACATGGCCAAGGAATTTGAGCTCTCCATAACCAAAGTGACACTTCTGCGGTTTGAGTGTAAGATCTGCTGATTGAATAGCCTGTAGCACACTCCTGAGGCGATCAAGATGTTGCTGGAAGGTTTCAGAAAAAACGACAACATCATCAAGGTATACGAGACAAGTTTGTCACTTCAGACCAGTAAGCACAGTGTCCATCATTCGCTGGAAGGTTGCGGGCGCTGAGCACAAACCAAAAGGAAGTACTCGAAATTCATACAGGCCATCAGGGGTAACAAAGGCCGTTTTTTCGCGATCTCGCTCATCAACCTCGATCTGCCAGTACCCGCTTTTTAAATCCAAAGAGGAAAAATAGTGGGCGCGGCGTAATCTGTCTAACGAGTCGTCGATGCGTGGCAGCGGGTACACGTCCTTTTTAGTCACGCTGTTCATCTTCCGGTAATCGACGCAAAAACGTAGAGTTCCGTCTTTCTTCTTGACTAGGACGACCGGAGAGGACCAAGCACTGTTGGAAGGCTCGATGATGCCGTCGTCAAGCATTTCTCGAACTTGGGTACGAATGGCTTCTCGTTCCTTCGCTGACACACGGTAAGGTTGTTGGTGTACTAGGCGGGCGTCGTCGTAAGGGAGGATTCTGTGCCTAGTGATCGAAGTCTGGCGCACCTTAGAGAAAGCAGCGAAGCGTGACTTGAATTCAAGCAAGAGTTTTCGCAGTGCTGTCTGGTTTTCTGGTGTGAGGTTAGAATTAATATCGATATTGTGTAGAGACGTATCGGCGGCCTCCACTGCGTCCGACGAGAAGCAGATGGGAACGGTACCTAATTCATCTGCAACTGCTAACGAAGTGCCACGGAAAAGGTGTCGGTGTTCGTTGCTGAAATTTGTAACGAGCAGTTGAGATCGGCCATCACGTAGCTGTATGATACTCCTAGCCACACAAACACATTGAGTCAGCAGGTGTTCAAAATTGCTTTCTGCAATCGCTTCACCATTTCCCAATGCAGAGCATGTGACGTCGACAATAACACTGGCTCTTGGAGGAAGCGTTATACTTTCAGCAGAAACACGAAGAATGTCGGCACGTTGTTGGTCGTCCTGCTTGTCGATTGCTCGGTCGGCTGAGAAGGTGATGCGATTCTCTTGAAGGTCAATGACAGCTCCATACTCCTGCAGGAAGTCAACACCAAGAATAACGTCGCGTGAACATTCACGGAACACAAGGAAACTTGCTACAAAAGTATACCCACAGACCCGAACTCTACTCGTGCAGGTTCCAAGCGGAGAGACGGTGTGGCCACCAGCCGTTCGAATCACAGAGCCATG